CTACAGCTGTAACTTTTCAGGGTTTCACAAAGTCTAAACACCAGCAAAAAGTCTTCCACTTGTGGTAGCAAATGAGCTTAGCTCTCTGCCTCTGTGTCTGGGGTATGACCAAAGAAAGCTGTTGACTAGTGAAATTGTGAAATGGAAAGAAACGCGGAAGAAAATGAGCAACCCTTGAATCTCCAGGTGAGATTCTTACATTATGGTCCATGCTTATTTTATACAAGGCAAATTCATTTTTTCAAGTCAGGTAAACCAGTCCTGAATCATGCGCAAGATGGTCACTGTTTTTTGGTGCGTGAGCCCTTATGGATTGTGATCTACCCTAACAACCTCAAAAGTTGTTTCTTTTCCTGGGCAGGGAAATCTACAAGGCCCAAATTGGGCAATTCTCTGTAGAATTTCTTTTTAAACTCTTTTATCCCCCAGCTCACTCTGAAGGACATTTGCCATCATTGCATCAGCTTAGACCAAATTCTATACCCAACTTTTAATCCTTGCAAGAGTTCCTGGTTGTTTGTTTTCTTGTCCTTTCCCCTTATTCCTCCTCAGTTTATTAGAGAACAGAAAAGTCCAGATTATTATTCTGTTTTCATTACTATAGTTCTCCTATCTGTTTGATACGGAAGTGCTACAGCTCAGCAGTTTGCTGTAGATTTGCTAGTCTGTGGAACAAGAAACCTCAGCGGGGAAAAACCTAGCAAGTGTCTTAATAAGCAGCAGAGAAAATGAGGCTTGCGATTGTAGAAAAACAAGGAGGGAGACCAGACCTGGCTGTTGCATAGCCTGGGAAGCAGCACTTTTTGCTTTGGGACCTTCTTCTGGTTGACAATTGTGTTGCCCAGTTTTTAACTTCCTCCCCTGAAGATGCTGTCTTGTAGAGCACTTGGATGCAACAAACCACACTGGGATTAGTGCTGTATTTTCATGCATATATACCAGTTGAAATAATTTGCCTTTTAAAAATTATTTTTAAAGTACTGTGATTTGTAGTAAGTAATTAGTTTCTTGGACTTGGTGCTGGCTGAACATCCAGGGAATCTCCATTTTCTGCTACTCATGTGACATCAGAGGGAGAAACAAGAACCACAAAGATTGATGGAAAATGGACCAGAAATAGGAAGAGAGAGAGACTATTGTATTTATTTTCATGTTACACAGATACATATAACCAGCTCTGCAGCTGAAGTGTACGTTTAGTTTTGCTGATAAACCATGGTTTAAACACTTCAAAATACAGCAGTGTTCAAAAATTCTTCATATAAACTTAACAGAATTGTCCACTTGCTGTCATGATGTTTTTTCTAGTACGTAACTTGGGATTAGATCTGAGTATCACTCATTGGCGTGCATGCAATTCTTCTCTCCTTTAAGTGCTTCCTTGCAGCACATTTCACACTGTCCATGTTTTGTTCACAGTGCTGCAGTGTTCCCCCTGCTCTCCACACTTTCTGCTCACACACTTGCATATTTCCCATAAGGAAACAGAAGCAGAGATATAAATCAATAGACAGTTCTGTCTAGGAAGTCATGCTTGATTTCAAATGAATATATTTTTATCACACTAGACCACTTTGAGGGAAAATGAGTTGTTCTCTGTTTTCTTGCAACAGGATTTTTTCTTAGCTGGTTGCCAATGTTTTTCAGCACTTGGCTATGAATGTTGTTAAATATATAAATAAAGGAATATCATCGGCTCTCATGACATCTCTATCCATCTTCCCAGTATTTTCATGTTTGGATCCAGCTTCTAAAATTCAGCCAGGTAAATATCAGAGCAGAGTGATGAATAACTCAAGCAGTGACCTTTTGGAAGAAAAGTCTCCAGTGGACATCAACTACTTTTTAGGGACAAAGTGCACTGACAACTTTCTAGAGATCTCCCCTCAGGAATGAGGGGTTCACAGGGAACTTAACTCAGAGCATTCAACCACAAGCCAGACCACATCTTTTCCACTGTATTTATTCATTTTTGGGCAGAATTTAGAAGAATTTTGACATGTCTCCCCCAACAACACTTTCACAGAAGGTTTGACTTGGTGCAAGACTAAAAGTTTTCAGCTTTTCTTTTGATGTTTGGCCAAAAAAGCTCAGTAATTTTTGGTTATGAGTGTCACTTTTTTTGGCTGATGACAAATTAAATGCGATAAAAACTGCTTTTAGAAGAAAAAAAAAAAAGTTAGTTCAGAACTGGAGGTTAGTTTCTGGTCATTGGCTTCTCACTATTTCTCTTCTAAAATTTCCCCATCCATGCATTTTTTCCCCCCACCACTTCCTTTTCCTCAGAAAGCACTTTATCTTCCCTAAGGACAAAAATTTGGCCATTTAATTTAATATCACACAAAATCTTCACCCTACAGCTTCATAACCCAAGCTTGACTGCAGGTCTGTGTGCTCATATGCATTTAACAATCCCAAGCTTAGCTGATGAGGTTGCAATTCTCCCATGAAGGGAGAAGAAGGGAACAGCATCACTGATTGATGGCTCTCTCTGCACCGATGCAAGACGTTGTCTAGCCCTAAATGCATAAAATGCATTCAAAGAGCCACAAAATGTTGCAGAGGAATGTCTCTGTTGTATGGTGGATGTGTGAGTATGTCAAACTATACTGTCTCCTCACTGCTTTGGCTGGGTGTCTAGGGTAGTGGAGAAGAAGATATGCTTTCAGTGGCACACAGCTGATAAGGAGGGTAACCCCCTGAACTCAGTTAGGGAGTTGCACGAGGATGGAGGCACAGGGTGAGGGAGGAAATCTCTGCTCAGGCGGTCCCCAGCCCCTTATCTGGGGCACAAAGCTCCATGCCCTGCCCAGGGTGGGAGAGCAGGGACCCGGGCAGCTCACAGACAGCAAGTCAGGACTGGCACAGCAGATTGGGAGGGAAAATGCACTTTAATGTCTGGTGGAAGGGAAAATGATAACACGGAACTGGTTAGAAATGTAAATGTCACTGATAAAACTCATGTGTCCACTTGGGGGTGGCAAAGTATTTCAGCTGTGTCTTCAGGGAGCAGGAATTGCCTTTTCTCTCCAGGGCCTTGTGTGTATCTCTTATGCTCTCCATGGCTTGTTTCTCAGGATTGCAGCTGGTAAAATGGCTCTGGCAGGAAACATGGGCTAAAATTCCCCTTGAGCTGAAGAAGATGACTCCCTAGCTGCCATAAGCCCCCCAGGTCTCGTCTCACCTAAGAGTCCCACAGAGAGAGGCAAAACAGAAGACTTTGGGGCAAACAAGGTAAAACCCTGTAGTAGCAGGAGTATAACCCACTCCTATAGTGGGAAATGTCATCTGGATCTCCAGTGACCAAACTGGAATAAGCCTTTATGCATATAGCATGTCATCTTTCAGGAACTAACATTCCTTTTCATTATGATAACGCTCTGTATTCTGACTGTTTAAGTCAGTCCCAGCCCCTTGATGACACATTGGATGATCTTCTGTGGCAGTGCATGACAAGCCTCAGCCCAGTGTGGTGGCTAAGCCTAGCCCTGCATCATGATGGGGAAGCATTTCTCTGAAACACAAGCAGCAGACTTTGAAACTTGGGACACATAGGTTTATAAAATTCTCTGTCATGTAATGGATTCACCCTGTCCTCCCTCTACAAAACTCTGTAGGGTCCCAACCTTGAAGTTAGTGGAGCTCAGACACTCATCAACTTGGATATAAGTGTGCTGCCTTCAGGATTTGTTTGCATGACTGGGACGTGGGACAGTTTCCCAGATCTTATATTGTGCTCTGTGGCAAAACCTGAATTCAGTAGATGCAAAATCACTGCAAAACTTTTTTATAACCTTTCTATCAGCTTCTCTGATCCTGCAGGTTTGTTCCAATTCTATTGTGAATAGTTTCCAAATTGTTTCCTGGTGATTTCCAACCCCATATAGATTTCTGACTTCTGCAATCCTCCCAGTGTGGGCAGATGTGAAGTCTGCTGAAGTATGACCACAGGGCTTCACTGGCAGAGACAACACACAAGTATCTGAAGTTCAAACAATGATAAGAACCTGTTGTGAACTGCAGGACATGGGACATAGCAGGGACCTACCACAGTTCATTTGTACATGGTCAGGCTTTGTTCAGATGGGCAAAAATGAAGCTGTCTGATGAACAGGATAAGCCTGAAATGACTGCAGACATTTCACATTCTCTGGACAGATATTCTCTGCTAGCTGCGTTTTGAGCAAAGAAGTCACAACAGGAGCAACCTCAGCTCCCAGCAGTGTCTATTTTCCAGGTAATGTACATGAATTTGTGACATGAATGTGCCATTTCAGCATTGTGTAGATATTGTCAGACATAGTATGAGGAGATATGCTAGTAATGTTGAGACTTGTTAAAAAATAACTCACTAAAGGGTAGTTTTTTTGACAAAGTGATTCAAGTCATTAATCACCACCCCCACCCAAATCTTAATTGCTCAAAAAGCAAAAGTTTGATTTTCATAATTATTGGCTTATTGGTTCTTCTGGCCCAGAAATAGCTACTGTTGGTGTCTGATATTTATCAGCCCAGCCCAGAGCTATGCTTATTTGTGACTACTTGCTCATGTTGCCAAGAGAGGCCTGAGAAGATCGTAGGGGTGAGAAGTGAGATTGGCTTGCCTCGAGCTAGAAGTGGGTAGGCAAGGCTTGTGCAGCAGGTTGCTCCATTTCAAACCAAGTAAATTGAAGTTTAGATTGGTGAACAATAAGCCATTTGGTAAGACTTCAATAAGCTGTGTCTCCCTGGTAACATTGGGAGTGAATCTCATTTTTGTAAAGCAGCTCTTTGTTGGCATATCTTGCAACAAGTAAACTGAGATTTCCAGCCCTCCTATTAACTTGAGGGTAATACAATTTTTCTCAACCACTTGCTAATTACAGTATCCTTGTTCATTCATTCAGCAAGGTACATCTGTGAGCTCTTCTTGCTGAAATCACTCTTTTAGTAGGGTCTTTTTTTGTTTCTTAAAGTCATATTATTTAACTTTTTTCTTATCTGGATTACAACATGGAAAGTCACAGAGCAGTGGAGAGCTGAGAACTGCTGATAGATGTCCTGTGGGTGCCGGGGAGACTTGTGTCTTCAGCAGAGTCCACAAGATTGTGGTCCTCAACCATGAAGATGCTCTGCTGGGCAGGAATCCTGCTTGTGGGATGGTTGGTGACCCAGTGCTTGCAGCAAGGAGGGATCACACTGAGGAATGCCATCCTGAAGCGCTGGGACAACAGATTGTAAATGATGGGGTTCACAGCAGAGCTCAGATAGAAGAAAACACCTAAGAGAAGAAGGGTTGAGGAAAGGAGATAAAGACCTCACTTTTGTGTGGAACAATCTCAGAGGAGGAAAATCTCTTAATTGCTTATACCACTTGATCAAGCTTGGCACAAGGGTGGAGGCAGCGATAGCACATCTCTGCCTGCTACTATCCAGGCAGAGGTATATCTGGCCAAGACCAGCTCAGGCACTGCAGCACAGAGGGAAAGGAAACTGGGAGAGAGTATTAACTGGAGCTCACTACCTCCAGCTGCTCAGGAACCAGCTCTCTCTTGAGCTGTACTGACCTGCCTCCAGCACAGCCCTCATTCCCGCAGCAGGATTTGCACAGCTGGTACCCCCATCAAGGCTGTCAGAAGATAACTTCCAGCTGAGGGGAGCTAATTTCTTGCAACACATCAGGACAACTGCATGAGATTGGATTTGTCTGAGCTGCCTAATGGCCACATTCAATGTTTTCCCATGGCAGACTGAAAATAAGATTCCTTTTTGAAAAAGCCTTCATTTTATGGTTGGCAGGGCCATAAACATTTGGTTTTATCACCCAGTTCTGAGCAGTATGTAAGTCTTTTGTCTTACCATTTGGTCAGGTTTCCTATTTGCCCCAGAGACCCTCTCGAGGATGATGCCTGATGTTGTGTATTTATTAAAAGTAGCTGAATGATAGTAGACTTAATTTCTGAACATTCCCAAGAAGGAAAAGCAGCTGGTAATGATACATGATATCCTTATTTTCTTTTTTCTTTTCTTTTTTTTTTTTTTCTTTTCTTTGTGAGTATTTAGACAACTGTATTAGACAACATGTCTAGATCTTGAAAATTGCAGAAACTTGCATACATACAGTTTTTATTTCATGCACAATTCTCATCACTGTCCACCAAACCACAAGAAGTTTTCCCATGCATGTCTCATGTCGCCTACAAAATAAATGACTACATATTTCAAGTAAACCACTCACAAATACTTTTTTTTTTCTTTTTTTGCCAGCCCCTGTGCAAGTGGAAGAAGAAAGTTTTACCTGACACCACATGAAGTAAGTTGAAGATATTAGCCAGAGGCTCAGTCCATTCTACAACAAAGCTGAAGAAAAGTCGATCTATATGGAATGGAGCCCAGCAGAAAGCAAAAACCATCACAAGGACAACTAGCATGGAGAAAGGGGAGAAGAAAAGCAAGTAAGTTATAGAAGAATATGGTTCACTAGCCTACATAGGGCAGAGAGAGTTCGGAAAGCTGGATTAAAGACTAAATATATAAATTTTATTTATAGTTTCAAAACTTTTGTCATCCTTTCTGTCTTACCATTACCAGCTAAAAGAACAAACTTTCCATTGATTTCTGTGTTGTATAACTCAACGCATGCACACACACAGAGCTGGCAACAACCAAGTAATATGTCATGTACAGAGCCTAATGAAGAAAGTGCCAGTGAGACGTCTGGATTCATCTGTGGTACCTGGGACACACTGACTCCATTGTGCCTTGGACTTAATTTCCTCGGCACACTATTTGTGCATCACATAGCAGGATAAGACCATGATAAGTCTGTCTGGGTGCACTGCTCAGCATGGAAGAATAAGAGTTTGCCTCCATGCACAACTTGGCTCTGGTGAGGACTCTTGCAAACCCATTCCAGATATGGCTCCTATGAATATCTTTTGTCACAGTCATGGAGCACAGAAAATCAGGCTAACTTCAAAGTACAATTTTCTAGTTCAGATGGGGACTTAAGCTGCCTAAAAGAATAACATTGTTACAGGAAATATTGAAGGTGATTTACACTTCCTGCATATACACCACTTCAGCAACAAGGTGATCTTTGCCTTAAAGACAGCTCTAAATTAGGAAGTGATGTGAACGCTTTCAGCATTATCGGAGCATAAATTCTTCTGAATGCTATATAATGTTCAAGTCTACCTAGATCCTACTTTTTCTTGGGAAGGTCTAAGTGGTTAAGTAAACAGGAGGTGATGTATGTGGCTTGACAGGTCCTTCCTGTCCATGAGGAGAACTCATGGTGTGATGCAAAACAGATGTACATCTCTCTTTAAAAATGTGCAATATAGACTATTTGCACTCTGAAAAAGAGGAATTCTCCCTAGAGGGCTGAAAAAGCCTGGTTTGGAGTGAGGGATATTAGAGAATTTCTATGCAAGTATCTGCCACATAGGTTTGTTTGACCTCCTCATGCTGGGGAAGAAAATTTGCCTTCTGAGTCTTTTTTGCAAATTAGTCATGGTGTTTCATTCCCATGCCCTCTAAATCCAGATAAAACACCAATAAGCCTTTTTTTTTTTTTTTGATCGCAGCTACTCATGTCATAACTCTTGTATCCAGTGAATTTTCTTGATACCCTTCAGGACCTGATCACCCTTTGTCTGTGGTAAATAAAACACAGAGGGACTCACTACTTACACAACATCTTGGTGACTGATTTCCTGGATGGTCTCTGAACATTCACAGCCATTTCCTCCACTTCCAAAGATCTGTCTTCTTTCAACTGGCAAAAGGAGGGAAACCGAAGGAGAGTTTAGACAGGCGATGACATCCCCACCCGACATAGCCTGTTTGATATTTTGATAGCTATAGTTTGAAAAGGCATAATATGGGACAACTCAGGACTCACTGAAAACAAATCTACATTTAAATTTCAGTTTTAGTCTAGGGAAACATTGGAGCTTTAAGTTCAAAACAATGTGCAGATTTTATGCATCTGAGACTGCATATTTACATCAGATTTGTATTTCAGTTCCCCACTTGTCCTTTCTCAATGAGTCAATATTTGGTTCACAGTTTGTGTTCAATTGCAACAGTATTTTGTTAGGCATTACTTTCTCTTCTAGCAAAATATTGTTTGTTTATTTTCCTAAAAGAGTTCCTCACAATTAAGCACAAACCAACGATCTAAAAAATGCCCATAGAGGCCTCAGCGAAACATAGCTGTAATCACTGGAAAAATTCCTGTAGAATTCAAGGGAGTTTGTTTCATTCCCTGAGTGTTAGGACTAATTGATAGTCAACCCACCTAATGAACAAAACCCATATATGCTCACTTGCAGACAGAGGGTGTGCATGATACGCACACATTCCACCACATACTGCTCAATTATAACAAGATGGGGCTTTTTCTCCAGTAGTTTTTTCCTGGACTTCTAAAAAATGGACATAAAGAATAATAATCTGACCCTCCCTGACATGCTTCCCCAATATATTTATGGTGGGAGCACTGGTGATTTGGTGATGAAAAGAATAGGTTTAGATAATCAGGAAAATTGTTTTGACTATAAAACAAATCATCTATGGAGAGTGCGTAACTGGACCCAACTTCCTGAAGTGGGAACTTCTGATTAGCCAACGGATTTGGAGTGATGCTTTTTCAGCTGAGAGTAACTGGAAACAAAACTTTTAATGACATGGGAAAGAACATAAAGAATGAGGGAAAAGAAAGAAATCAATCTGGATTTGTAAGAAAACTTGTGAAAACGTGCTAGTTGTGCCATTTTCTTTTGCCCTTTACACTGTGATTTGCTTCCTGTTTTTTGCCTAACAATATTTTTCTGTAAGGATGATCAAATGAGGACTTTTTTTCAACTATCTATTTAATCATAAAACCTATGAAAGGGAAACACATGTAAATCAAATTATATTCAATTATAGTGGAATTCATCCTCTCACATTTTACATTATTCCCTTTGTACCTTTTAGTTATAGCCACAGTTGCTTAAGGAAGAAGCTCAGTTGATTTGAAATACATCTAACGATAAATGTCTGCTCAGATTGATTAAAATCCCTAGTTTCCCTTCAGTGGTTTTCAGTCTCAACAGCAATCTATTCCAGGCATATTCCAAAGCCTCAGAGAATACAGTACTCTGATGCTGTAATAAACCAGACACATATGTATCTTTATTTTTTACCTTCTTCCTGTCATTTTGATGATACTATAAGGCTCCTCTTTAGCCTCAAGTGATAATAGATGGAGGTATAACTAGTAAGAATAACTCAGCAGTTACAACTTAATACAACAATGAGTTATGACAAAGAAGAAGGAAAAAAAGAAAGAAACGAGTCCATGGCAAAGGTCGTAACTTGAGTTCATGCCAATGGTTTGACAGAGGGAAAACTCCAGCCAAGGTAATGGTTACTTTTACACCACTGTGGATGTATGAAGCTATGTAGGGTTGCCTGGAGATGAATGTTACCCATTCACTGAAAGACAATTAAAAGTGTCTGGAATAAGAAGCTGAAAATTGGATTTTCCCACTACACCTTTATTAGCTACAGTATTTCATACTAGAAATCAAAAGGCAGAGTGAAATTAGGGCCTAACCTATCCCCAGGAAAACCTAGTGAGGCTACTCAGCAAAAGCAGAACTGTTTTCTGTAAGCGCCTTGGCCTACCTGACATGAATGGTGACCAAACTTTCTCTCCAGCTGATGGAAAAATTGATATTTAAAAAGAACATGGCTTGTGCTAAAGCGTGTTGTCCTGCCTGTTTCAGTGATTTGGCTGAAGCAGTTACCACCTGTCTGCAGAACTGCAGCCTGGGCGTACTCTTAGCCCACCCCCATCGCAAAGGAAAATGTGTTAGTGAGCACGAGGTTTGCTGAACAACCTCCATGGAAAGGGGGCAGATGCTTCCAGGAGTGTGCTGGGCTCTGCAGAAATTAGCCCAAGGCAGTCATGGACAACAGAGGATTCTGGTTTTAACAACTGGGCATTTAGGGGGTGAAATAGATTCTGATGGTAAAATCTGGACCAGCTGTACATTGGCAAGAATAAGTTATTTTGATTCAAAGACAGCTGAAATAAAAATTAACAGTGTTTCCAAAGTGTTACTGAGAGGAAGTGGCACTAAAAAAAGTGTTGGACTCCGTAGAAGAATCAACCTGCCTGTGTGAAGTCAATCTAGTCTCATCTGATCATCTAGATCCCCTCACAGATATCTGAAGTAGGTGGGATAAATAAGTCTCTGGATTCTCCACCCTCTTCATTCACTGTCAAAAATCCTCATTAAATAGAGTATGACTTTTGGATAGCCAGTAATAGCCACTTATCCTTGTGTCCACTTAGAGATCAGTTTGAAAGAAATGGTCAGGGATCTTGCAGTAAATCCCATTGCAATGCAGAATTTTTCCCAAGCTATGCCACCCCACCTCTATCAGTGCTGCAGGGGTTAGCTTTTACAAGCAGACATTTCCCAATGTTCTCGTTTTCTCCCTCTCCTCTTTCTTCTCAGCTTTGGGGATATAGGTTGCACCCAGTAGCCCAACAGTTGAACTGGGTTTAAAGAAGAGCCTAGCTGATTTAGGGATTGTTCCTAAAGGCACCTCATGAAATAGACAGCAGGAAGCTTACACAATCAAATCTAATGAGATTACAGTGTAATCACCAGTGTCCTTTTCTTTATACTAATGCTGGAACTATCTATTGACCATAACATTGCAGTATTAAGTGATCAAGACTTAAAATTACATCCAAGTAGATCATGAGGTAATTGATCATGAGGTAATCAACCTGATGGGTCTGCTGGCAATAAATTTTGCAGTGAAAAATACAAATATATTTTTTCCTTTTTGCAAGGAATTAAAAATTAACTCAGCTACTACATGACCCATGTTTTCTACCTTCTCACATCTGCTTAACATGTCACACATGTTTCCTTCTGTATTGCATCCTGAGGCTCTCCTGACCACTGGAAACACTTGAGGGAGAGACTTTGGTGAGGAAATGCCCTTTCCACAAAATCTGGGCTTGGAAAGGTTATGTCTCTGTTTGCTGAATTTAAGCTGTTGCATAGTCTTTGGATCAACTCTGAGCTTTTCCACTACAGTCTATGAGAAATACATTACATCTATGAGAAGTACATTACATTCAGGAGACTCTGGAGTGTTGATGAAGCTTCATAGATTTCATCCTCTGTGAGTAGATGAAAAGTATCTTATCTTGAAAAATTATATGTATTTACACCATTCCTCTGTCATTTCTGATGGAAAAAAAAAATTATCTTGCTCAGAGCAATTTGGAGAGCAATGCAGATATAACCAGGATGGATGTTTTTTAAAATTTGGAAGTCTGAGTTGGATATACAGAAAAGCAGGTGCATAAACAATGAACATTGCAGCCCTTAGGAAAAACAGCTTGAACATACCTGTGTCTATACAGAAGTCCTTGTGGAGCAGCCCTCACCTGATACCTAGCTTCTCTTCTGGGATGGGGATTAGGAATATCTGCTGCCACAAATAGAATTTATTACAGTCTTCAAGACTTATTTTTATTAGTTCATGGATTTCTCTTTTTGTTTTTCTTTCTTGAAACAGCTACATTTTCAGCACTTTTTCCTGCCTTCTGGTCTTATTTTGCAAAATTTTAAATGAAACTATGTAAAGACCCTGCAACAGCCACTGGACAATGGGGAGAATTTAACACATTCATTGCTTCGAAGATCTGCTGTGTGCTATGAATTTCTGGCAGTTAATCCTCATATCTTTTCCTGGTTAAGGAAAAATTGCTTCTGTGTTACTTCAGATAACAGTAAATATCATCCAGCACAACAAAATAATATACACACCAGCAGAGATTTGATTGATTTTCTTGCACATTATTCGGTAAGTTCATTCATCTCTACTAGCATATTGCATCCCTTTCTTGTCATATGATCAGACACAGCTTTTTAAACTTTAAGTTTATTCAGTGTAATGAGATAAGATTTATGTTTTCAAAATATATATAAAGTATGAGAAGAAAAAAGCCATCAATTTGCTATGATTAGCAGTGCATTTCAGTGTTGTGCTTCATAGTTTTATAATATTGTGATACTGATTGTTTTATCCATGTATTTAAATGACTAACAGTTGGTAAAACTAGTCTCACTTTCTGAAGGGAGAATGAATATGAATGCTAAGGTAGCCTTAATCGATGATGAAACTATGCCAGAGCTATATAAAGGAACAATTGCAGAATTTGCTAGCTGCAGCAATAAGGTAACATTTCAGTTTATGGCAGCTTTGTGAGTTTTAACGACTGAATATTATCACCATCTCCAGGGAAGAAGAAAAATAAAATAATGCAATGGAAACCCTACAGTCATAAAAACAGGGAAAACAAATAATACACAAGATTCAATCGTTAGCCTGCTCTTTTTTATTCTTTTCACATTTTCCTTTTGGTCTATTTCCTTCTAGTCTCTACTTCAAAAGTGCAAATCTCTAAGATGCTGGAATCAATCTACAGTCTTGGATGTTTAAGTATCATTCAAGTGTGAGCAGCAGTCATGGTAAGTTTTTAAATAAAGATTGGGGTAAATTATTCCCCAACATATCTATATTAATTTTAGAATGGGATTACACCAAAGAAGGAATTGGATCCACTGTTTTCTGAGGTTTGAAATATGATTTTTTTTGGGGAAAACAGATAGGCAAGAAAAAGGTGTAATCACTTAGAAGACATATATAGACACAAACACACAAGAATGAGCTAAGAAACACTGAGCACAGTTGGAGTAGGACTTACTCTTAGCCCCATCAGATAGTACAGCACACTCATTACCCCCATAGGCAGCACATAGAAGAGAAAAGAAGTAATCTGGACAATACAGTTGTAGATCCACATGGGCATGACTACAGTGCAGGTATCAGAGCCAGGGACCAGGGTGCCATTGGGGAAATACTGCAGCATGATTCCATGGGTGCCCGTGTTAGGGAGGGCGAAGAGGACAGAGAGGACCCAGAGCACCACGATGGTCCTCAGGGCACGCTTGCGAGTGCTCTCCAGCTTGGCACGGAAAGGATGGAGGACGGCAATGTATCTCTCCACGCTGACAGTGGTCACGCTGAGTATGGAGGCAAAACACACCGTCTCAAAGAGGGCCGTCTTCAAATAGCAGCCAACAGGCCCAAACAAGAAGGGATAGTTGCTCCACATCTCATAGACTTCCAGTGGCATCCCAAAAAGCAGCACGAGCAGGTCTGAGACAGCAAGACTGAAGAGATAGTAATTGGTTGGGGTCTTCATGTTCTGGTGCTTGAGGATTACCAGGCAGACTAAAAAGTTACCTATCACCCCAACAATGAAGATCAGAGTGTACACCAAAGCCATGGGCAAGAATAAATGGCTCCGTCTGGGCCCACATAGGAAGGCTAAGTAATCCTCAGTGCTGTTCAAGTACCTCCTCAAATGTTCTTCACGTAGAGCAAAGTGATTAAACCAGGAGATATTGCTGATCCAGGCCATTACTGGATCTTCCAAAACTTTTCACAATTGAAATCCAGTCTTCTTTAAGTTTTTCTGTGCTAGTTTGCTCACTTTTTGCAGAGAGAGGAAGAGAGGAAGGGAGTTGTCTTGCCAGACCTCTATGCACAAAGTCACTGAGAGATGTGAGTGAGTGTGTTTGCCTGGCTTCGGTTAAGGTTTTGCCGTTGTAACAGCTGTTCTCCTGAAAGGAGTCCCTTAGCCAGAAAGCCCCTCCTTTCACACATATTCATTGGCTTGCTAAGTGCATTAGATTATAGAGTAAGAAAAGAGGTTCCAGCTACTTGTATCAGCTCCTGTAGTAGATGCATCTACAGAATCAGAAATGTGGGATTTAGAGAGCTGGGAATCTGAAATATAGGATGTGAAACAAGCTGCAAGATGTTTGCATTTGTCAGAGGGTGAGAAATCAGACAAAAAGCCCCCAAAAACTCAGTCCAAAAAGCTTTTACAAAATTATATTGATGCTACATCCAGTTATGAGCCACAAGCAAAAAAAAAAAAAAAAAATCTGGCATGATTTTATTTTTCAGATCTCTGCTGATTTATATTTTCTGTTATCTATGGCAACAAGTACTTGTAAACAGAGTTTGATCAGTAGAAACCCAACATGGTTTTGCTGGTTTTATAGTAATTCATGTGGAATTAGACTACTATAATGTTTCAGCCTTTTTTAAACATAGTATTTATTTTTTTCTCCTGAAATCCAACATAGGATTTTAATTGCTCTTCTTATTTTTATCAAAATATTTTCCCACTTTCCTGGTATGCTGGAATCTGATCCCATATTCCTAAATAGCCTTGTTTTGGCAATCTTTCTGAGGACAGTATTACTCCAAAGACATATTTATTGCCTCCAGGATTAAATTTACATGATTTTTTAATAAACTCTTATCTCTTCCTGAATGACAACCATACTGCAAACACAGTTGCTGAGCCAAAAAAGTGTATCCTGCAAGGACGATGGCTGTGTCAAAATAGATTATTTAGCTCCTTATGAAAGCTTGATTCCTTATTGAATTCCTCTAAAAGAAAAAAACTTTAAAGTGCATGGATATCATCTTCTGAGATTCAGAAAAGGTTTAGTTTTTTTTGAATCAGAGAGGTGAAAAGGCTGAGTGGTAGTTTAGGGGATTTTGTCAGCTTGATGTGCAATTTGTTTGCCCAGTACGTCTCACTAGCTCTCACTTTTGAGTACCTGCCGAGTCCTCCTCCTTGAAACCATGTAGACTTTTTACATCCCTAACATCCTTTAGCAAGGAGTGCTTTGGGTCTATTATTTATGTGTGAAAAGCCACCTTCTTTCCTGTTTGCCACTTTAGCTGAGTCTCCTTGGCTACTAACCTAAGACTGAGTAATTTTAACCATCCAGGAGCAAAAGAACAGTCCTTTTGGCTGGCATGTCCTCCAAAATCCTGACAAAAACAAGTTTACCAAGAAAGATACAAACTACTCCACTCTAAGCAGCTAGACAGTAAACTGATCCCACACAAAACCTGTTTTCTGACTCCTAAGAATTGAGGCTGTCTTAGATCCTGTCTTCTTTATTCCTTCCCTCTTTAACTTCTAGTTTAGTAGTGGTCCAATAATCTTAAAAACAAACAAACAAACAAACAAAACTATAATAAGCACAGACTGCCTCCAAAAACAACAGCAGAAGGTAAAGAACCTAGGTTTGGTCCCACAGAGTCATATTTGATGTGTGGAGCCTGAGGATTACTGTGCGTTCATTTAAAATGTTGGAGGCGTGGAAAGTGCCACAACAGCTATGCTAAAAGACAGAAGCATGTCTCTAGTGATGACTTTCAGATCTGCTGAAATTCTCTCACACATCAGAAAGACCCTACTCATTTATTTTATCATTGCACAGAGGTGTTTCTTTCAGCAGATTGAAAGGTTTTATTGGATTGGTGAGCTACAAGTGTGCTCTCCCTTTTTAAAAATGTTTCTCCCTTTTTAAAGGATTCATCTTAAAGTTTCCTTGCATTTTAATAACGTGGAAAGAATGTGAATTTTATTTTGATCTACTGTTAGTGTAAGAGGTAGGGACAGAGGAATTTTTAGTCAGGTGCCTGGTCAAGACCAAGATTTACTGTTTCAGAGCACAGTAGGAGACAAGTATTTGAGAATTTGTGCAAGACAAAACACTGGCTCTACCTCTGCTTAACTTTCAGGGGTTTTATTCCCTTTAATCTCTCAATAATATTTCATTTCTTTCAATTTCTTCTTTCCTCCCCAGTAAGTCCCATTACTCTCTATACTGCATCATAACTGAGGTGAGTACACACTTCTAAAGTAGCTACCAAATTGGTCTTCATTTTTCTTCTTACACATTAACCCCTGTAAAGAAACTGAAAAGGAAACTTGAGGTCTGTTCAGCTTGAGCTCAATCTTACAGAAAAGGAAACCAAAATGGATTGAGTTATGTATTACAAAGCCAATAGGGCAGCCATACCCATCATGGTGTCTATGAGAGGAAAGAAATGGGCTGTAGAAACACATCAGGTCACTTGAAAGTGTGGATGTGGCAGGCCCACCTGTGTTTACTGACACTTGTTCTCCCTCCTCCATCTTTTCTGATCCTGCTGGGCTCAGGTGCTGACAAGCTATAAGAATAGAAGCACAGAAGAAAAAAAGGTTTATTTGTCTAGCAGGTCACCCCTGGAACCATGTCTTTATGACCATGATTAAGTGGCAGACAGGGAGGACAAGGAGAGTGGAAAATATATTTCAGTTCATTTCTCGAAGCTTTATTTGGTGTTCTTTATCGTATCTGTCTCAATAAGAATAGCAGAGTGTGTCTAACCAAAGACTAGCTCTGGCTCTGTATGACTGGAAATATTTTATTTTTACAACTGAGACATAAAATAAAAACAGATTTTTCTTTTGGAAGTAATATTAAAGCTTTTGATATTTTTCATTATAAAGCACACTTCATTGGTGCTTGCTGTAATACACTCGAAGGAAGATGGTGTGCTACATGCTGGCCTTAGAACTGTGCAGTTTTATGTAACAGTAATGTAAATAATGTAATGTATTATGTACATTAATGTAATGTACACTATGCAATGTATGTTTACGTAGTGTAATATTTGGCAACAGTAACTCAGACAAGGTTTTTTGGCACGGTGTCACTACTAGTTGGAGTGTGGAATTGTATCCCTAGGCACTGAGTATGCCCTTATGTTGATAGTATCTCTTGTACCACATTTACATTGTGGAATCTTTCCCTTAGCTGACGCAATACACTACAGCACATCTCTGTGTTTGACTGAGAGCAGCAAAATGCACATTTAAGAAGAGGTAAATTCAAGTGCTTTCATGTTTTCCAAAGCCCTTGTAAGGGCACCCATTAACAACTAACTATATATTAGGTCTGTAAATGGTGTATAATTTTATATTTTAGGGAAAATTGGACACATTCATCAAAAGATACAGAGAACAGTGGAGGTAATCCAGACTATAGCAAATGGATAAATCCTCCATTGGTTACACTTGTAGAGGGATGTACTTTGAAGTTCTATGGGCCATTATGATGATCTGCTCTGAATACTTGTTCATCTCAGAATGTAGAATTTTATTCATACAAAAAAACCTTTTATGGATATTTGTATCTGTGTAGTGAGACAAGGAGGTTTCTCATCCAGCTTCATATGTGGCTGTGGAACTGGAAGTAATATAGCTGTGCTAATGCCATGGTGTGCCATGCTAATTAGTTCTGTTGGTTAGCTGAGAAACAATACTGCCCTGACATGTCCACTTGGCATCCAGGACTTGAACTGACAGCTCTGAGCAACCATACATGGCAGGTTGCTCAGGGTTTGTAAGAAAGTGCTGTATTGCTTACTGTACACACACTTTGGAAAGACATCCTACTTCATTGGAAGGGCTGGAAGATGTACTGAGTTTGCCATAATTTTGGCAATCGTGTGCACTAATTTTTATCTTCATCAGTTACAACCTGGCCTTTCATTTCTAATTTCTAATTTCCATTTACATTCATCAGATTCTGTTGGTTCAATGGTTTTACCCTTTCTCCAATTTGTAGATACTGAAGGTAGGTGCAAAATCCTTTAGAAATTCTGTGTGAGGGGACTTCTATCCCTCCTGTCTGAACTTGCTTTCGTTAGTCCTTTCATCCAGCCTCTTAGAGCTGCCCGTAGAGCCACACTGCTTTCAGAATTGCAGATTCAAACTGGATGTTTTAATCCTTTGAGAACTTGTCCGTACAAAGTATCTCTATCCCATAGTGTTGCAAAGAAGAGGATGCAAATAAAATGGCACGGAGCTGGTAAACTGAAAAGTTAGGCCATACTGCACTGAATATGTTATCACAAATGCTAGAAAATTATATCTCCACTCCCCTTATATGTTACTGAGCTGTAATTATAGATCATGGATTTGACTTTTTTATTTTTGTTTCCTCATTTGAAAGGCTTGTTTGGTTTACTACAGTAGCTGGAATGTGAGCCCTCATTTTTCTAAGAATATTCAGTATAACATTCAACATGCCATCAAATGCATAGATACATTTTGTATATTTTCTCTCCCTCCAGGCTGGAGGAGTCAGTTGCACTGCAATAATAGCTGGATCTGCAGTAGGTTTTCCATTTCTTATTGTAAGTCATTTTGCAATTATCTAGGCTCTTGGCAGACAGTTTTTCCATGGCTGTGCATGATATCTGAAGTCCCCAGGATATCAGTCAACACATATAAGAAGTGGATTTCATGACTACAGTACAAAATACCAAGGAGGACACCTCTTCACTTGGAGCAGCTGGCAACCTACACAGACAGTGCAGACAGAGGCCACTTCAAGAGTGGAACTCATTTTGGCTAACTTTTATGATTAAAAACAGCAAATGAGTCTATGCTGATTTTTCAGGCTCCTGCATTAGTCATTAATGAAAAGAGGAACCTCCAGAAGGGGATTTGTACTAAATCATAGAGCAAGGTAAGAGATATGAAATGGAGGAGCTTATTTTTTCCTATTGTCTGCAGAGGGAAAGTGGGTAATGAGGTTTAACAGCAAGCTTGTTAAATAGCTGAGAGGAATTTAGACCCCAGTTTTGTGCAGTCTTATCCATCCTCCTTATCCATATAGGCTTTGTCTCTGAGAAGCTGTTGGGACAGCCAGCCAGCAGGTGAAGAGTGAGGACAGTCCAGTGTTAAAA